TAACACACAGTGGAATTCGCCTTCCGTGTGGGTGTGCAGTTCTGTGAGTTTGGGCAAATGCGTACGAGTATGTAAAAGTACTGAAATCAAGAACAGGCCGGGGGCCGGGCGCTGTGGCTCACGCCTGTAATCCTAGCTCTTGGGAGGCCGAGGCGGGCGGATTGCTCGAGGTCAGGAGTTCAAAACCAGCCTGAGCAAGAGCGAGACCCCGTCTCTACTATAAACAGAAAGAAATTAATTGGCCAACTGATATATATATAAAAAAATTAGCCGGGCATGGTGGCGCATGCCTGTAGTCCCAGCTACTCGGGAGGAGGCTGAGGCAGGAGGATCGCTTGAGCCCAGGAGTTGGAGGTTGCTGAGAGAAGCAGCAAGAGCGAGACTCTGTCTCAAAACAAAGAGAAAAAACCAGCTAAAAGCAAAATGAAGAAAATCAGAACCATGAATTGCATGCATGAGGAAAAATTCTAAAGCTGTGTACATTTTTCTTGCATTCTTCCATGTATCCTGTGATCTTGACAGTTTTCAATTAGGAGTCAATTTGTGCTAAAAAACTTTTTTTTGTATTTGTTACATGTTTTCAAGTGGATTTGCTTACAATATTCAGAGTGGGTATTTTCAGCATTAAAATACTGATCAGAGACAAAAACTCTGTATTCTAAAGTGTTAAAGTTGTCTTTGTCTTCAAGGAAATAATGCAAACTGAAAGCAATTTGGGTTTCCGAGGCATTTCGACAGGCCCTGCATTGGTATTGCCACTGGGTGAGTGTAAAGGAAGTAAAAGTCATGATTACTTAGTTTTGTTATTATGCCCGATACTGCCTAAGGAAAAAAAATTGCTAACTTTACTTTTTAAAAGAAGACATTATTCAAGAGTTTTAAACCAAGTAAACAAACAGAAATCTAGTTAACATTTGCATGCATTACTTTCCATTTCTTTCCACTGAATTTATACTTTATTAATGGGCAGAATATCCCTCTTAAAAGGCATCCATTATTTCAACAAGTCTTTCATTGTCTGTACCCCCCAACCCCTACTAAATTGAAACCATTTAAGAAACTCAGGCTTAGAAACTGAATGTGAAATTTTTTTTTTTTTTTTGCTAAAATTGAACCTTAAAAAAGCAAATCGGCTTCCTATTACGGGAATAGTTCCTCATCGATGGTTTCTGGAAAGAGAAAGTTTGGAGAGGAAAAAGAATGCTGAGAAACACCCACAAGCGATGACAATAATGAGCACGCTCTGTGTACACTTCCTACACATGCATGCTTCCTGTACATGCATGCTTCCTGTACATGCATGCTTCCTGTACATGCGTACTCCCCGTACATGCGTACTCCCCGTACATGCGTACTCCCCGTACATGCGTGCTCCCCGTACATGCATACTCCCTGTACATGCATACTCCCCGTACATGCATACTCCTTTACATGCATACTTCCTATACATGCATACTTCCCATACATGCATACTTCATATACATGCATACTTCATATACATGCATACTCCCTATACATGTATACTTCATGTACACGCATACTTCATGTACACGCATACTTCCTGTACATGCATACTTCATATACATGCATACTCCCTATACACGTATACTTCATGTACATGCATACTTCATGTACATGCATACTTTATATACATGATTCGAGCAAGAAAAATTTATTGAGCACCTACTATGTGCTAGGCATTATTCCAGGCACTGGAAATAAAGGATTGATGATCGAAACAGAACACATACGGGCCCTCATGGAGTTCAGATTCTAGTTGGTGAGGATACACAGCAAGGAAAATCGGGAAAACGAATCATAATCCTGGACTGCAAGATGACAATCTCCCAGCTGCCAGGACGGCTGTGACAGCAGAGAGGGGCGGATGAGTGACACTTGTGGGTGGCAAGGAGACTAGCCCAGAGGGTGGAGGCTGAACTTTGAGTCAGGGGAGAAAGCAGGGTGGGGTCGTTAAGCAGTTTAGCAATGAAATCCAGGAAGAGGGAGAGGCAGAACTTTCCAGATAATTCACCCTCCCCATCATAAACTTATGCCAAACAATCCTGCAGACTTTAGAACGTTCTTTCTTTCTCCCACGGTGTCATTTACACATGCACAGAGGCTCTGAATGAGAAGACTCAGGGCGGGGCCGCTCCAAGGAAGCAATGACCCGAGGCGAGGCTGTCATTTCAGCTTTTGCAAGCGCCTGCCAAGGCCTCTCCCAGCTGCCCTGGGCAGACCACCCGGCACCAGACGGGCGACCCCCGCCCTTCTTCCCAGCCCGGAATTGTTTCAAGTCCCTGATTTTAGAGGCTTGCCTACTTCCTCTCTTTTTTCTTTATTTTTTCCTATCTGACCCTTATCCATTTATACTATTTCTTTTTTCAAGCCTCTGTACTGGGAAAAGGAAGGTGAAATGTAAAAGAACTAAAATAATTCAATTACGTTTACAGGCTTTTTGAGAGCAGAGAACCTATGAATTAACTTTTATATAATCTGTCCACAAACGGCTGCAGGTTTTATTGATGGCTACGATTTCTCTTTAGGCCGGGCGCGGTGGCTCACGCCTGTCATCCTAGCACTCTGGGAGGCCGAGGCGGGAGGATCGCTCGAGGTCAGGAGTTCCAGACCAGCCTGAGCAGAAGCGAGACCCGTGTCTACTAAAAATAGAAAGAATTAATTGGACAACTAAAGATATACAGAAAAGCTGCATGGTGTGCATGCGTGTAGTCCAGCTACTCGGGAGGCTGAGGCAGGAGGATCGCTTGAGCCCAGGAATTGGAGGTTGCTGTGAGTCAAGGCTTGCTGTGAGCAAGGCTGACGCCATGGGACTCTAGCCAGGGTGACAGAGTTAGATTCTGTCTCAAAAAAAAAGCCAAAAAACAAAAAAACAAAGAAAGAGATGAGGGCAGATCACGGAAGGTGCAATAGGTGGTGGCCTTTTAGCTCGTGCTGAGTGACCTGGGGTGACCCCTGGAAGGTTCCAGGCCGAGGAATGAGTTGACCTTATCTAAGTTCAAGAGGATCACTGTGGCTGCTGTGTTGATAGCATTCTGAAGGGGGCAAGGGAAGAAACAGTAAGCATTTAGGCAATATGTCACTACCCTATAAATTATAATTGGATAAGATAAAAACAAACAGAAACTAAGATGATCTCTGGTGAC